CAGCTTCATGTGTCCGACTTAACCGGTGCTTGCTTCTGACGCGGGAATTATGACCCCGTGACCCAATACAATCACCAGCGAGAAGGTTTTCAACCACGTTGCTTTTCCTTAGGAAGCCACCGATTGTGATGCGACTCGGGATGAAAAGGGCATGCTCTATGTAACCACAACGCACTGAAAGCTTGGCTGAATTTCCGCTTGCCAACGCACGGGCGGGTCCCAAGTTCCCATAGACTTTCTGGTTTTATTTCCAAAGAGCCAAGCCCGCACCCTACCCATGTGGGGGTCTGGGGGTCGATAGAGATGCCACGGTTCGTGCTAGACTGAGTCCGCTATGAAACGTTTTGAGTTGGTTGTACATTGTTGTTCTCTTTCAACCAGGAAGATGATGCAAGCCGTGAAATCAAATGACGTCAACTTTGTCGGGTCGGGGGTGTAAGTCTGGCCTAGTGATGGGGCTTTGAGGGTAGAAGTCGCCAAGTCGTGCCGCCGGCTGGAATTGCTGTTATAAGGGGATAGACGCCAGGTGACCGTGGGTACAACTGGTATCCCCCTTGAACATGGATGTATACCCAAACAAGTGTGCCATGATCAAGCATGTGTTTGTGTTATGTTGCAGGCAACGTTTTCCCACGTGCTTGGTACCTTGGTCGAGGGAATCAGCATGATTGCTCCGAATCTCGAGACTGAAAGCTCAAGGTTTGAAAATTGGCATCGATGGGCCACTTGTTCCCCTTTGCCAAGAGCCAATGTTCTACCCTGGTGACAGAATTTGTCCGGGCGAGTTGTGTTGACGTGACTAGAAAGTTTGCAATGTCATCCATGAAGGTTTCTTTCAGAGGGAAATCCTAAATCATTTGCCCAGATTTGTGGAGCAACCCTGAATTCATGAACAAGCGTTCTCGTTGCCCTGAGGGAGCTTTCAGGATTGGTGTCGCTGAAACCATGAAAGGGTACCTAAATAGGCTGTGTCTCTCTCAGGCCCACATAATGTTTGCAAGGGATCAAAGGCAAACACTGCGTGCCGATGGGTTGTGCTGCATGTTGAGCTGAACTGCGCGTTGTTTTGTTTTCCAACGAGGCATTCAGGGATTTGTGTGCAGACATAGAAATCAAAACCCTACTAGTTGTTCATTGAGAGCCAAGTTTGGGATACAACTTGGATATGACATAGTAAAAAGGGTGAAGAATTGAGAAAGCTTGGATATACTCTGATACAACTTGGATATGACATAGTAACAAGGGTGAATAATTGAGAAAGCTTGGATATACTCGTTGATGTTGGCTTTGTCGCAAGCCATGTGATCTGGGGCAAAACTAAAGCAGACGCTGTTACACAGGGCACCACTTCTTGCAGAAACAAGGAAGTTGTTCCTTGCTTGAGAGATTGCGCATTTTAGGCCTGGCTACCAGGGGTGGTGCGGTAAGTCAAGTGCCGCCCGTCATGCCAAGGCAGCCACGGAATGTGGTGCTGGATGCTAAGTGAGTCGGATACGTCCAAAGGTTCCAAAGTTCTATCAACATCCACAGACACCACTTTGTTTAAGGCAAGTTCTTTTAAGGTCGGAGTCCTAGCCATGGCGGTTGACACCTCTAATGCTATTTGCAGATTCAACCACATGAAGATCCTTCTGTCACCTGCCTACTTTCACAAAGCAAGCCATAGCCTGCAGATTTTGTGATGCGAACGGTTCGCATCCCGTTTTCCCGGCCAGTGGGCTTTTTTCAATTCTTGTATGGCATTTGCCCTCACCTGGCCAGGAGGGGTACGCGTGGTTTCACAGGAAGGTTGTGAACAAAAATGCTAAAGGGGGCTGCCTCTTTGACGACTTTCTTGTAGCCTCTGAGGGTCCAGCTCAGGACCCTGAACAACTAGAAGATTACCAGAAGATTCCGGGGAGGGCAAATGCAAGGTAGCGCGGCTACAGAGGCAACCGCATTGAGCCATGCGAGGCATGAAAAAGCGGCAAGGATTCGGCCTGTTGGCGTGTGGGTGTTCGAATGTGATGGTTGTGGGCCTATTGGGTGGGTTTACAGGGGAACCAAGGGAAAGCCCACCATTTTGAGTAGTTCCGTATCCTAGTTTGAGACAATCCCACATATGGTCAAGCTTCTACTCATAGGCGTTGCGTGAGGGAAGTTAAGATGATGGCAGCGGTTTTCTTTCCGTTCCAAGCCGTTTTAGTGGGGAGCCACCTCCAAAGTGGTTGGTGGACATGAACCCTCACCGATTTCTGATCTCCATCTCAACTAAAACCTAACTCCCTGGGAGTGAGTTCCTGGACTTTACACTTTTTGGAAAGAGTTTTCTTCCTTGTTTGGCCAATCCACTCAGAAAGTGAAACACTCACGCCAATATTTATTATCATTTTCCAAAAGCACACCTGGGCTTTGAAAGGCTATTATTTTCGTCAAGGTTTTCAAATGAGTCATTGTGGTCTTCATGGCCGGAGTTTTGCAACTTGACAACACCCGTGTGTCTGAATCAACTAAAAGTGTCCATTGCCAGACTTAGATTACCATTTTAACTTTGTTGCTGTTGGGTTTCCCTTGACTTTTTGTTCAACCAGCGAAGTGTTGACTTTCTGTACGGGGTCTAGGTTAGAGTCAGGCCCTGTTTCCTCTCATGCATAAACTTTTTATTCCCCACTGGAAGACCGGAGTTTCGGGGACCTTGGGCCATGCCTGTTCGGTCCCGGACAGTCCGCTCCCTGTCTGGCCAATGGGACTGCATTTGTGTTGTTGCATTTTGCTTGGATGTTATAGGACTGAACAACTGTTTGCCAACTATATTTTGTTTTTTGTTTTTTCCGTTAAAGACTCTTAGCAGGGGAGCGGAAAGCAACCGAGAAATAGAAAGTACAACAAGACGGCATCTCGTATTTTCTTGTACAGGAAAGTGCGCGTGATCAATCAGGGCGCGTGATGCATCTCTGGCCTTGAAGGAGCGGGTGCCCCTTACGAGCTTGTCCAACCGTGCTTCTCTTAATCGGAGCGTTTTGTCGGGACCGCACAGAGGTGCTGGGTGCCGAACCTTGCGCCCTAAAAGTCAAATTGGCTGAAAGTGGGCCAGGAACAGGCGCACTACATGGCGCGGTATGAATCGGAGGGAAGGAAATTAACGCCTATGCGGCACTCCCAAAGTTTGCCTATCAAAGTCAGAAGCTGGGGTTGTTGTCCTTGAACCTCTGATGGAATCAGAAACTGGGGCCAGCGAAGCAGCCAGCGGGTCGCCGAACCTGGACAAAAGCATCGTTGCCGGGCTTAGGTTCCCAGACCTTCAATGGGCGCGTCCTTTTTGAGGGTACCCCTTTTGTTCTTCTTGTTGCTTCCTCTTTGTTTTTTTTGGGAAGGGGGTCCTCTAACAACAGACACACCCCAAAACAACGCCATGATTTTGGGGGGCTTCCCTTACTTCCCTTCATCACAAGCTATTTTTGTGTTTGTTCTTTCTTTTTTCCGGGGCCTGGAGCGCTGGAGGTTTGGGAAAAGTTGCATTGCGTCGCTTGCGTCTTTTGCTTGGCTCAGAAACTTACATGGGAATCACATATGGAGTGATCGTTTACGGGCTGCTGAACATCAAAAGCTTAAGACACACCAACACACGCACGCTCACTATTCAGAGTCTTCACATAACTTAGGCATTCTAAGGCACCTGCAGAGATTGTTCGGAGACGACACATGTCACATTCGAATATCGCAGCAAGTTCAGAGAGATAAGGTTCGATCTTCCCCAAAGAGCATTCAAGGCAGGTGTTCCTTTTTAATCCCCAAGTTGGTTGAGGTTATCCCAACTCCAAGCGATCAGGCGACAGGCTTTGAATCGAGTCCGCTGGGAGCTGCAATGCGATGCAGTCCTGAGGATGCTGCGCGCAAGTCTCAGCCGCACGAGTCGCGCGTACGGTGAGTCCAGCTGGCTCCGCCGGTGTTTCGACCGTTCCAAAGTGGGATGAACTGTAAATTTGTTTGGACCTGTTCCCTGCACCCCTAGAAAGGCGCGGTGGTGTTGCGAACATGCGCTGGGAGGAATGGCTTGTTAGTTTATGAGCTTTTGGGATCCAAAACCTGGTAGACGAAGGCGGGACTATTTGCCCTTTCGATTCTGGCCCCCATGGGTGTTGGGTAGTCTGCCAACTTCCGGCTTTAAAGTGAACATGTTGAAGGGTCTGAAGGTATAGTTTTGCAGATGTAGACAACCTATGGAAGAAAACAAGCGAACATCATGCGAAAATCATGCGAACACCCTAGGACAACCATGGTGCAACCATCAGAAGAAAAATAAATCCTAGGAAAAACCTCGGAAATCCCGGCAATTACAAAGGACAAGGTGTGGAATTCCACAAGCACCCAGCTTCTTGAAGCGTCAACAGGGCCCAAAGAAAGCGACCAGCTCACTTCGGTCAAGAAAAGAAACAAACGCTCGCTGGGGCCCGTGCTGAAGCTGAGCACGTTGGGGGACACCTGGGTGCAAATGACATGCAGCTGGGCACCTGGGCGCGCAAAGGACCTTCAATCAGAGGGTGATGCTGAGGATGTCACTCTGCTGGACCCAGAACTTTTGTGGATGGGAAGGTGGTCATTTTTGCAGTGCCAAGCGGATACATTTGACGGGACATGAATCACAACGCCCTACAATCTAAAGACTGCTTGTTCAATCATGTCCAACCTCTGAAGTTGGATGCGTGGACCTTTGAACGCGGCCACAAGAAGCAGTTCCGGATAGAGATGTCATTCATTTCCGGCCGCGTTTTGACAGCTCGGTATTCACCCGTGCTTAGGGTCAGGCGCTTCCTCGACAAAGGTTGGGATGAGGCGCGGCAGAGAGGAATGCACAGATCCGCCTCGAACGGCATGCTGGGTTGTTTCATATCAATCCTTACCCTCCCACCAGCTAACATGGGTTTGTGCACAGACCCTTGTAGGTTAGTTGGCCTTTTTGCACTTCCATGTTAGTTGGTGCGAGGTCTGCGCTTAGCCCTGAGTGCCAGGCTTCTCCTGCCATGGTTAATGTGCGTCTAGGTGAACCCCCCAAACCTAGTGGTTCCCCGTGGTTTCCTTCAAGAAAGACTCCCTCATGTACGCTGTTGCACGTTGCAGCAGGCTTTGTGGACGGTTTAACGCGTTGCAAAATAGGGAGCCAGCAATATGGAGGCTGCGGACGTCGGGGTGGCACTTTCAGTGGACGCCTTTGAAAGTTTTTTTTTGTCGCCAGGGTGTCAAAAACTCGAGCTTATTGGAGCCCGCATTCAAGTTTTCTGCTCCAAAGTGCCAGCGTTAAATGTGAATATTTGATCGAAACCATCCGTGGGAACCGGATTTTGTGTTTTGCTTTGAACCCAAGGCCTTTTGCGTTGTCCTTTGATTTTCCTATCTCCCCCTTTTGACTCCACATTGCAAGGTACCAGATTCACAGGGAACTCAAAGCCCTTAGAGGAATCCCCCAATTAGGGGGGCACCCTTTTGTGTTCTGCCGAGTGCGGCACAAGGGGCTATGGCCAAGGGGCGCCCATGAAAGAAATCTCTCCTGCCGCAGACCCGTTTCGAATTTCTGTCTCCTCGCGTGCGTGTCTGTATGTTGAGGGTTCAAACCCCCTTTTGCTGGGTGGGAAGCCAAAAAGAAGCCAGCCATTTTTATTGTCCCCTATTTCTGCCACCAAAAGTGGCGATCCTTTCATGGGAAATTTCACCCGCAGGGTGCATGTTTGAAGGCGAAGGACTGAACTGTCTGTGGATGCTTTGGTGGATTTTGCTTGGATGTTAGGACTGAACAGCTTGTTGCCAACTCATGGGTTTTCCATTGAACCACTAACAGTTAAACTTTTCGCAGCGGTCCCCCAGTAGTGCCCTTTCTCACCCCTTTGTTTGGGAGGGTTCCCCTACTAAAATAGACAAAACCGAAAAAAAGAAACGGTGCCAACTTATTCTAACCTCTCAAATCTGGAGGACCTACAAGTTCTTCCATGTCACACACACACAAACCCTTGAAGAGCTAAGCAACAACTAACATGCTCCTTTTATGATGTAGTTTTACTGCCTCCTACCCCATTCAATTTATTTAGGCCTTTGCATTCGGGGATCAACTTCAGTTTTGTTCACAAATAGGTGACTATCAGGGGGGTGTCCCTTCAGCCACAATTTAGAGGGTCATTTCAAAATTTGGAGCGTCATTTCTAAAATAGACTACAGAAACAAAATCGGGTACCAATTTATTCTAACCTCTCTACTGGAGGACCTAGGATCTGTTGTTCTTCCGCCTCCGTTCGGGTTCATCGTCTTGGCTCCCATTGGACCTCCAGGTGGCCACGCTGGGCCGGGGCGCCCGTGGGCCGGTGATCTCCATCCGCAGGAACGACGGCACAGGCGGGTGTGTGGCCCGGGGGGGGCGGGGACGCAGGGGGCCAGGGAGAGGAGGGGTGCGTTTCAGGCAGGGCAGGGGAGGGGAGACTTGTAGATTTTGTCGTGGGTCAAAACCAATGGGATCCCGTTTGGTTGGTAGGTGAATTCACCAACCATTTTAGAACCTATTTTACTGGGGATTGGGATGTTGACTGGGGTACGGGATTTTGACCCATGGCCATATTTGTTGTGAACTGGTTTTAGGGGAACCCCCAGTTGCCCCAGTTCAAACACATATGGGTTCTGTTTTTTTGCTGAGGGTGAAAGAGGGGTGAAAGGGGAAGCAATTCTTGTTTCTGCTTGGCAATATTGCAATCATTGCAGAACCTGCTGAAGAAAAACCTCTAATTTCTGGTTGGATCATATCTTGTAATGATTGCAGATGTTTCGGCAAACCCAAAGGTTGCAGAGACCAGTGGCGCACACCCCCCAAAAGGACGTGTGGGTTTAAGTCTACCCCAGTCAAAAAGGGAGCTCTGGGGCTCTGGGGGGGGGGTCGGCCGGAAACGAGCGACCAGATGGGTCCAATGTTTGCGGTATTCTTGCCGTTTACTTCACACTCACTCCTTGAGCCGCATACTTGTTGGGTATATTTTGACTTCCTGGTCCATGTTTGGACCCCGTTTTGGGCCCCTCTATATGGGCAGCTGCACCTCTTCCCAACCTGCCATGGCGAGATCTCGCTTTTGCTCGGAGAATGGTAAGCGCTGCGCGCCGCCTGAAAAGAAACAGAGGAGCAACGCGGGCTTTAGACGAATGATGCAGAGCGGTCACTGGCCAACGGGGTGGCTTTGCCGGACTCAACACGGGCTCAGGAGCGCGCGGGGGCTGGGCTTAAGCTGACCGAGTTGAGCTGTTGCGGGCCTGGGGCCTTGGGGATGGGGGATCGGAACACTGCCACTCGTCAACGTTGGGCATCATCTGAAGTATTTTTTGCCCGCTTAGGGTTCAGTCATGTGTTTTCCTGGCTCACATCGCTCCACAAGACGAGTTGCGACAGCGTGTTTTCCGCGGTTCCTGATGATGAGATGTTGCCCAAAGCCTTGCTTTCCTCACACAAAGATCTTGTAGCTCCTGCTTGTCCCATGGAGTTTCCTTGTGATATTTGAAGTGGAGGCCCGGGCAACCCCTCATTGGGACCGTTTTTCACTCAAGTACCAATAAAAGCGGGGGTGCCATGTTGTTCCCATCGAAATCTGGAAGTCCGGCCTGGCGCATCAAAAGCGGACCTCTCAAAGCCCCCTGTAGAAGGCGGCGTTTCTCTTTCGGCAGGGTCCAAACAAGGGCCCCCAGTTATTAACACACTAAAAGTTAGACACTTTTAGCGAGGGATCTGAGGACAGCCCAGGTTTGTTTTTGGTTGGTACATTTGCTTTTCGGAGCGCAGGTTCCACCTTTGCGCTGAAGAGGTCCACGCAGCACGAGGCCTGCTGAGGGATTTGGCTATCTCAAAAGTCATGTGAGGGGCTAAATGATTTCACAAGTTCTTCTCCTTTGCAAGTCTAGGTCCCCCAGTAGTGCCCTTTTACCCTTTTTTGGGGGGAAGGCTAGAAGGGTAACCTTATTCTACCCTCTCTACTGGAGGACCTAGAAGTGATTCCATGTCACACACAAACCCTTGAAGAGCTAAACAACAACCAACATGCTCCTCTTATGATCATAACCTAATTTATGTTTACCGCCTCCTACCCCATTCAATTTATTTAGACCCTTGCATTCGGGGATCAACTTCAGTTTTTTCACCCATAGGACTATCACTTGCCCAGCATCCGTGTTCTCCCTCTTTTTTTCCTTCTTTTTTTCCCGGAACCCCGTTAAATCAGCCAACGCTCACGGATGCCTTGTTGTCCCACTTGCACAGGGCCGTGAAAGTGAACATGTTGGCGGCGACTTGTTTTTTTTTTTGGGGGGGGTCCCTTCAGACACAATTTAGAGGGTCATTTTGAGGCAGGTCACGTCAAGGACCTAGTGCATTTTAGGGGCGATCAACCAGTTCTGCTAGTTTGATGCGTGTGCTGCCTGAAAACCGCACCATGTGTTAGCAGTCCGCTTCAGGTACATGTGTTTTGTTGGCTATCAACACACCCTTTCATTTGGAGAGCAGGACTCCCGGTAGGTTTAGCCGCATCGAGTTGCCCCGCATCTACCGGGCATTGTGCCATCGACTTGCACTAACAGTTCTAGGGGTCGATTGTCCATTCTTTTCAGTCATCGTTCTTTTCCAAAACCAGCCAGTTCTTCCGGTTTTTTTGGTGGTTTTCTAGAAAGAAGGATCCCCGGAAAGAATGGGGAAGTTGCCCCTAGAACAGTGTCCATTTGGCTACTGGAGCAAACAAGTTCGCCCCTACTCACTGACATGTTTTTTGTTGAAACCAGGACCGTCCTTCATGAGCACGAATCTTCGTGCTAAATGGCCAGTTTTAATTCCCCCCGAAAGGAACAGGGCGTGGACATGTCTTTTTTGGCCCCAGATTTACAACCCAATCTAAGATGGTTTCCGCCACAGCCCAATCGACCTTGTTTGGTGGGATAATACAGGTATGCACTCGTATAGTCAGGGTTCATACCCCATTTCCCCTGAAACAGGGAGCTGTTTAAAGATAATTAGCGGAGACCATTTTAGAACTATTTTTGTTGGAGAGTGGTATCAAACACTGAGAAACGCTATTCACAGCCCCTTGCCTACACCCGTAACCTCTCAGGGGGTTACATTCTGATTTGCTGATAGTGCACGCACAGCTCCATTGCAAAGGGGGTCTCCTGCAATGCCGATGTGGACACAAGAAGCCGCCGATGTAGGCTAAGCCGATCCGTTTTTCAGACTGACATATGTGTTGCACAGATACATGAGTTTTTTGGGCCGTTCCATTTTGTTCATATGAACCAAACACCTCCGACCATACACCCCCCCCTTGGCAGCTTGTTGTGGTCTACAGGTGTTTCCCTGATTGCACTCTTTAAGGCATTTCTGGTTCCATTTGGGTGAGTTCAAACAGAGTTTGGAAGAAAACCTGTCACATTTGGGGTCTGCAAACTTATTCTATATCTTGGTCCCCCAGTAGTGCCCTTGTACCCTTTTTTGGGGGAGGGTTTTTTTTACTAAAATAGATTCTAGTAAAAAGTTGGTACCCTTATTCTAACCTTTTATTGGAGGACCTAGATATTGGTAGATTAAAAATGGGCACCGGACTCTGCGACCTTCTCCACCCCCCCCCCCTGCGCACCCAGATGTCGGCCCCACACCTGCGCCCATCGAAGCCCGGGCTCTAGGCACAGGCGCTGAAAGCCCTGGCCAGCTGCAGGCTGGATGGAAGGTCTTGGGTGGAACCTCACGGGATCATGTTATGAGTCTGAAGGTTTCTCTCGTTTGTTTTTTTTGGAAGCCAAGAGGACAGGTGCTTGCGGGGTGTCTCTTTTTTTTTCTTCTTCGACGCCAAAAGGACAGGTGCTTGAGGGGACCACTCCTCTATTTTGAGAACTTTCCCCCCCATCATACCCCCGTCTTTTACTGATTCAGAGCAAGGGGAGCCATTTTATATAGCCTAGTGATTGAGGGGCCAAGGACCACGGGTCGTGGGCCAACGGGTTCTTTCTCCTAGCGGATGGACGAGATGCTGGTTCCGACCTGGGGTTGAGAGACCATTTCAGGGCTAGGAACGAGTGAGGGAAGCAAGTCACTTGCCGTCGGGCTTAAATTCGACATGGCACCTGCGGGTGTGCCCATGCTCATGCTGCTCTCCGAGCGACCTGTTGTGAGTCGAGGGTCTTGTCCTTGCATCATTTTCGGTGCACCCTTGGGTTGCACCTGTGCAATACTGGCTAAAGGCGCAGTATAACCAGCTGCACATGGGTTATGTCGTTTGGAGCAATTGGGGGGTACCTTGTCAAAAAGGGGGTGCCTTTCGATCCTAAGTAGAGGACCCCTCTACTCCACATCTGGTTTGAGTTACCTATAAACAAGCCAGTTGTGGGGCTCTGTGTTATGCCAAACACTTCAACATGGTTGGACATGAATCTCCACACAAAGGGTCCGCAATTGATTCACCCTGGTGCCGACGTAAAGGGAATCCCCCGTGTGGTCATGGGGATGGGTTTTTCTCACCGTGGCATCTTAGCCCAATTACTCGGTGGCACTTTACCTTGCTCATTTTGTTCGGGGGAGGGTTTCCTTGAATCACGTGACGCCAAAGGGTCCGTAGGTTTTGCTCACCTTTGTTCATTTTGGCCTCATTATTTTACCATGGTCATCCCCGCAAGCCCTGCACGGGAGGAACATCGTGGCCTTGCAAGAGGCCTTCCATCACGGCGGACAGGCGAGGGAAGGCTGCCGCTTTGGGAAAACTGCCGCGACAGTAATTCGGGGTCTCAAGCGGACAATATGGTTGACTAAATGTGGAACAGAACAAGAAAAGTTGATATTCTGTGTGCCCGAGATGTGCGCAAGCTAGATGGCACAACTCTTTTTATGTCACGCAAACGGAGCGGTTTAAAATGATGATAAAACAAATCGGAACTGCGGCATCCAGTGGTACTACAATCAAACACTAAGGTATGGGTCAAAATAAGCCCACCAGGGGACCGCAGGATTTTTAGTTCTTCGTTCCATTTATCAGGGCAAGCCATTTTGGGTACGCATGTTTGATGTGCTCAGGGCTAACAACGAGCTCACCCATAGGGGGCTTGGCCACTTCGGGCATCTCGCCCAATTTGTTGATTCGCTTCCTATGGGAAGCCCTTGGTCCAGGCGGTGTTTTTTGTTTTTGTTTCTTGTGTGTGTGTGTGTTTTCTTTTAAATTACTGTTTTTTTCATGATTTAAGTTTTTTTGTTTGTAATTTGTTTTTCTTTGCCAAATGTATGGCAAGGGGGTCGTACCCCAAAACAAGGAGATTTTAGGTTTCCTTGGTCCAAATGTATGGAAAGGGGGGGTCGTACCCCAAGGATTATAGATGAAACCAATGGTACGCTCTTTTCAGCATTGCTTGGTTTTCGTGGTGGTCCCCGTTTTTGCGGTCGGATGATCAACACATATCAAGCATCGGCGTGCATACCCCACGTGTTGGAGCCTCGGATGCTGTGCGTGCGACTATGATCCACTTCTGGGGCCAAGCGGAAGGAGACGATCTGTTGGCCAGCTTTGGGGACCGCCCGTTTTTGTTCTTCTCCACTCGTTGAGCATTTGAATCAGTTGAGTGCTTCAGGTGGGGAATCAGCAAGGTTTCGTGGCGTGCGTCTTTACACTCTGAGTCGTGGCGTGCCTTTTTGTTTCCTTCGGATTGCGGAGACCAGGGTGACCTGGGTTGCAGGTTTACTTCACCCTGGTGGATGAGCAAGGGGAAGCCCATATCCCACCCGAGGCTGACCCCTTTCAACATCTTTCAACCCAAAGATTCCCCAGGTCAGCGGCAAGGGGAAGCCTAAAGGTTGCTTCAAGAGGGCCCCTTACATATTAATATGGGTGTGTCTTCCTTCCATATACATATCAATATGGGTGTGTTTTTTGTTTCCTTCTTTTTTTTTTATACGGGACCCCCAAATTTGCCGTTTTTCTTTGGTTTCTCTTTATATAAAACCAACCAAGCACGTGGTCCCAAAAAACGACTCGCGGCTCATAAATTCCAGGTGCTAAATCCCTTTCTGTTTGGCGAGTTTCCCCATTAAAACAGTTGTACGCCATGCACCTCAAGATGTCATGGAAGAAACACATCTTGCATAGCTCACGAGCGACCTTTTGATCATAAATGCAACTGGCTTCATATGGGTATGGGTCAAAATTAAACCACCTGGAACTTGCAGGTTTTGGTGCAGGTTCCCACTTACCAGGGTTCCATTTTGGGTACCTGTTTTTGACCCACAGCCATACAATATTATGTTGTAGGGGTAGTGGGTTGGGGCTGGCAACCTCTTCGACGTGGATTTGAACATCGGCTTTGGCGCCAATCTTCAAATGGGACATATTACGGAGGTTGCCGGTTGCAGGACACGCGTTGCTGTTTGGTGTCTTTTGTTGGGTCTTTGTTGAGAGAAAAAGCGCGGGGACAAGCAACAACCGCTGGGTCAATGCTTTACTTCCCTCAATACTTAAACTTGCAATAGCTGTTTGGAATGGTGTTTCTTTGTATCACAAGGGTTAATCTCCAGCACCATACCCCCAATATCGAACTCACCTTCCCTAAGGAAAATGTGTGGGTACCTACCCCGAGGATTTGTCCAGTTCCAGGCAAGGCAGTACCTCCAGGTTTATGATGGTTCCCCTGGTTTCGGGCTTGGAAGCACTGGGTACACTCCGAACTGCGTGACATGGCAACCCCCGCTTTTGCTATGGTCCATGTATCTAGGATCCACAGGCCACCTGAGCCCAGCTTCCCAGACTCCTGCCTTGTTTTCTTTGGTCTCTTGCCCATGTCAATGATGCCCTTGTTTCTTACTTATGGGGCTCAATTTCGGATCAACAGCCAACCAAGGTGTGTTGTTTCCGATGCTTGAATGTTAAACCCACTTGGTAAGCAACCACATGATTGAGTCTGGGGTGTTGTTACTCCGCTACGTACCAAGTTGAGAATCTCGTGGAAATCCGCAGGTCTGGGGAGAGACACGTCTTTTTGTGGCCTTACCAGAAATCCGCCAACCTGGAAAAGTCACTGGTTACCACAAGGTTTTCGCTGGTTGCCACTGGCTTTGGTGTCAGGTGATTGCACGACTCGAGTGCATGGAGGGGGGTTCCTTTCGCGCCTACCTGCGTGCCTGGGAGCTTGGGGCTGGGAGGGGAGGGGGAGGGAGTCCAAAGAACGGAGAAAAAGGCCCCAAAACAAGCAGGGCTCCTGACAAGATGCATTTTGCCCATTTGAAACATGGCTTGTTCCACCAAAATTAAGGGACACCACCATTTGCAAGGCAATGTTCAGGTGTATAATGTAAGGATCTCTGACCAGGCCTTCTGATTGAGGCCGTATTTGGGCTCCCTCCCAACCTACAAAAGGTGGCCTTTGTTTCCTTATTTCCCATGGCCGCTAAGGGTCTGGGGAGGAGAAAAGAAACAAGAACGATGACTTGATGGTTCTAAGGGAATCATGGGTTTTGGGTATGAGCCGGAATGTAAATTCCCGAAAGAAACCACCAGTCGGATGGTTTTAGGGATCAGTCGCGCACTCCCCGCCTATTGAACCAGCAAGATGACCGTGAGGGATCTGGTGGTCTACATGCCCCCATTCCTCCATTTGGGTGTGGCTGAAAGCTAAACAGGCGGGGTTACGCAGGTTTTGGTCCATGTTTTCACTTACCAGGGTTCCATTTTGAGTACCGTTTTTTTTTAGCCACGGCCATTTAATGAAGTCATCCCCTTTGCCCACATCTACCCATCTACTTTCACCGTGGTGTAAATCAGAGGACCTCCCAACACCTGAGTCCGATTCTCCGGATCAAGCCGAAGTCAACGTTAGGGGCAACTTTGCGATTATTTCCAGGAAGGTTGGAGGGTTTTTTCCCTTACTTGGCTGATTCCTCATTAGATAAATAATTCATGAATTCAACATGGTGGTTTTCCTTATGGCTTCCCTTTAAACCAATGAGAAGACCAGTCAAACCTGCCTGTGGATGGATGCAATCCATGTTGCACCAATTGGATGAAGCTCTAAGAAAACTGGGAGAAGCTGCCTATGGTTGTGTCTCTCTTTTTTTGCGGGACCCCGAAAACGGGTGGTTGTCCTTTCTGATGTCCCTTTAACAACCAAAAGGGGTTCCTTTTTCAAGAAAGCACACGCCAGGTCTCACTCGGATTTTTACCAGGTAGAATTTCTGATCAAATGTTGCCCTTGAAACGAGTTTCAGGTGACCGGGCTTTCCTTGTTTCCTCCTTCAACCCCCAACAGGGGGGTCCACTTAAAGAAAGCAGACACCCAAGTGCAGTACTTTCACATTCGTGTGTATGTAGGTATTATATATATACATATATATATATATATATATATACTGACATATATATATATATACATAGATATACATATATATATATATATATACATATACATACATATAATTATGAATCGATATGTATAGATACACCCCCACCTTCGACTGACTGGGACGCCACCTGGTACCCCTTTTCACGATAAAGCCTTCTTCCCAAAGTGCCCTGCGAGCAGTGGATGGGGGAGAAGTCGAAACAACTGCTGTGAAACTTTTTCTCCCACCAGCACATGTCTTTTGGACAATGTCATTTCAGGTATCATGGACGCTCCCACTGTCACTAACATGAGAAGTGCTTTGAGACTGAATCACAACCATGGTACTGGTGTTTGGCATACTTCCTGTAGGTGTTTTCTTTGACATATTGTTGAAATGAACCAAGGGATCGTGCCCAGTGAGAACCTCCGCATTAATTATTTCTAAGGTTCCTTCTTTCCCGAAAACTGCCAACAACCGAGGAAAGGGCCGGCTTTGCAAAGCAATGATACTTGAACAGAAAGTACAAGACATCGAAACCCTACGGTGCAGTTGTGGCGAGTTCCCCAATCTAAAGCAAATGGCACAATGCCCTCGTTGTGGTTTAGTCACGCCTTTGCTTACCCACACCGAACGGAAAATGTGCCATCTATTTTGGGTGTGGCTTCTCCACCATAAAGGACATGTGTCAAACTACGGACTCCCTCCAATTAACACATGGAACCTGACGTTCGGCAGTTAACGGAAAATGGACCAAACCAGGACCTCCCTGGTTCCATGTAACTAAATTATGTACCTGACATTCGGCAGTCCCTTTGAAAGGAAAACGGTCTTCCAGGACCCAGGTTCCATGGGAACTGATGTGAGGGTACCCCTCCAAGTGGATTTTGTTCCGCCCGGTGCTTCTCGAGGCGCGCCCACCGGGCCGCGTGTCCGAGGCGCCCGTTAAAATTAAGGGACAGGTGTTCAGATGACGCGAGGAAGGGATGAACGATGGATCAAGGGTCAGGGAAATTGACTTGAACTTGGTTTGCATTGGTTTCCATTGGTCTGGGTGAATTATATTGACCTCACACCACACGACCACCCCAAATGGTGGTGTATGTGGGGAATATCCCCCCAATCCAGCTGCTGAGTTGTAAGGCTTGTAAGGTGACCTTGATACCAATGAGCGGTTGAGTCAGAGTCAGTCATCAGGTTTGTCTTCTTGCCACGACTCATGTCTTGTGACCATGGGTCTTCCAGCTTTTGGCTCTTTCCCCTGGCCACAGCCAAGAAGGCACGAGAAGAGAGATGGAAGGTCCCAGACGGATTGTTCATGGCTGGATGGCACAATAGTTTGAGTTGATGCGTGCAGATTGGTGCCCGAAGGCGGATGTCAGGCGAATGTCCAAGAGAATCCCCTCTGATTTCGGGGCGAAAAAAGAGATTTTTAACCCTGCCAAGCAGCCAGCCTTTATGCGAACGGGACAGTTGATTCCGTGCGTGACTCGGTGTCAAAGTTTTGACGTCTGCGAAGCACAGGTGCCGTGTGGCTTGCTCTGCTCATGCGCCAGATCAAGTGCCGCATGCTATATTAGCTATATCTCCCTTGAACAGGAAGACAACATCACCGGCATAGCTTGTGCTGATCGCAGCGCTCATGCTGCTTGTGTTGCATGCGCTTGTTGTGCATGGGCTACTGGTTCCGTGGCTTGTCTTGCTCGCGGCGTTTCTTGTGCATCGTGTGATTCTTGTGCTGTGCTGTAGTTTCGCGCGAAATTTGAGTTGCGGGAGGGGGATGTCCAGTTTCCCGTGGGGGAAACTTGCAAAAAAGGGATGCGGGAGCCAGCGAGCCACCCCCATCCCGTTGAAGGTTTGGGGAGATTGTGCAATCATTGTCAGGGGGAGCCGCGGGGAAAGGGCGGGGGGACATGGGAGAAGAAGGCTTTGTGGATTTTCCCACGCATCTTGCAACATGCCTTTGTTTTGGACTCTTCTAGCAGGGTCCCCGGTCGTGCAACATGCATGTTTGCTGCCAGGGTTTGAGTATGTGGCGTGGATTGCCCTTGGCATTTAGTGAGGCTGTATTTATCGGCAGGCATGATGACCAAGAGAAATCCAACTCTGATCTCTTGGTGAGGATCAGACAATGAGCTTTTTAACCCTGACTGCCTAGCAGCAAGCCATCATATCCAAGTTGGGCTTTGATCGTGCGGTTACGGCAATGAGTTTAGGCCTGGGAAATCGCCATCAGCTGGTTTGCTCCTTGTGCTGGCTGCTACCTGTGCCTTTCTCGTTCTGGTTATGCTGTTTGTTATGCTTGTTCTTTTGTTCCCCTCAGTGCTGCTTGTGCTCGCTCGTCGCTTGTGCTTCATATGCCTTCCAATCTGCTTCTGGGGGGGAATGCAGGCAGACTTTGGGTGTTTTTTGACGTTCTTTGCAAGACGCCTTTTGTCCTTGACGGTTCTAGCAGATGCCCTCATCTTGCAAAATGTAATTCGTTGCTGCCGGGTTTCGTATGTGGCGGCATCTAGCGCAGACGAGTGTATGTCATGTGGGTGCAGACGGGCAGGCATGATGACCAAGAGAAATCCAACTCTGACTCCTGCGTGAGGATCAAATCAAGAGCTTTTTAACCCTGACTGCCAAGCGACAGCAAGCTAGCGTATCCAAGTTGAGCGATTGATTTTGTGCTGTGGGGACAATGACTTGTGAATTACTCGCTGTCCAATGATGCACGTAAGCTGTCTGGCGTCCAATAGACATGGACCGCATTGACAGCATACCGCTGTGCTGTGCCTCACACATTGCCATCGGCTTGTGAAGGCTGTATGCTCCTTGTGCTGGCTGCTGCCTGTGCTTTCCGCTCTGGCTTTCTGTTTGTTTGGCTCGTTCTTCTGTTCCTCTTATTGCTACTTGTTCTCGGGCTGCTTGTTCTTCTTTGGCCTTGCAATGTGCCGGGATGTCTTTGTTTTGGACTCTTCTAGCAGGGTCCCCGGTCGTGCAACATGCATGTTTGCTGCCAGAGTTTGAGTATGTAGCGTGGATTGCCCTTGGCATTTAGTGAAGCTGTATTTATCGGCAGGCATGATGACCAAGAGAAATCCAACTCTGATCTCTTAGTGAGGATCAAACAATGAGCTTTTTAACCCTGACTGCCAAGCGACAGCAAGCTAGCGTATCCAAGTTGAGCGATTGATTTTGTGCTGTGGGGACAATGACTTGTGAAATACTCGCTGTCCAATGATGCACGTAAGCTGTCTGGCGTCCAATAGACATGGACCGCATTGACAGCATACCGCTGTGCTGTGCTTCACACATTGAAATTGCCATCGGCTTGTGAAGGCTGTATGCTCCTTGTGCTGGCTGCTGCCTGTGCTTTCCGCTCTGGCTTTCTGTTTGTTTGGCTCGTTCTTCTGTTCCTCTTATTGCTACTTGTTCTCGGGCTGCTTATTCTTCTTTGGCCTTGCAATGTGCCGGGATGTCTTTGTTTTGGACTCTTCTAGCAGGGTCCCCGGTCGTGCAACATGCATGTTTGCTGCCAGGGTTTGAGTATGTGGCGTGGATTGCCCTTGGCATTTAGTGAAGCTGTATTTATCGGCAGGCATGATGACCAAGAGAAATCCAACTCTGATCTCTTAGTGAGGATCAGACAATGAGCTTTTTAACCCTGACTGCCAAGCAGCAAGCCATCATATCCAAGTTGGGCTTTGGATTGTGCGGTTAGGGCAATGAGTCCAGGCCTGCGAAACAAACACATCGCCATCAACTGGTTTGCTCCTTGCGCTGGCGGCTACCCGTGCCTTCCCCGTTCTGGTCATACTGCTTGTTACGCTCGTTCTTTTGTTCCGCTCAGTGCTGCTTGTGCTCGCTCGTCGCTTGTGCTTCATTTGCTTTCCAATCTGCTTCTGGGGGAGGGGGGAATGCAGGCAGACTTTGGGTGTTTTTTGACGTTCTTTGCAAGACGCCTTTTGTCCTTGACGGTTCTAGCAGATGCCCTCATCTTGCAAAATGTAATTCGTTGCTGCCGGGATTCGTATGTGGCGCGGACGAGTGTATGTCATGTGGGTACAGACGGGCAGGCATGATGACCAAGAGAAATCCAATTCTGACTCCTGCGTGAGGATCAAATCAAGAGCTTTTTAACCCTGACTGCCAAGCGACAGCAAGCTAGCGTATCCAAGTTGAGCGATTGATTTTGTGCTGTGGGGACAATGACTTGTGAAATACTCGCTGTCCAATGATGCACGTAAAGCTGTTTGGCGTCCAATAGACATGGACCGCATTGACAGCATACCGCTGTGCTGTGCTTCACACATTGCCATCGGCTTGTGAAGGCTGTATGCTCCTTGTGCTGGCTGCTGCCTGTGCTTTCCGCTCTGGCTTTCTGTTTGTTTGGCTCGTTCTTCTGTTCCTCTTATTGCTACTTGTTCTCGGGCTGCTTGTTCTTCTTTGGCCTTGCAATGTGCCGGGATGTCTTTGTTTTGGACTCTTCTAGCAGGGTCCCCGGTCGTGCAACATGCATGTTTGCTGCCAGGGTTTGAGTATGTGGCGTGGATTGCCCTTGGCATTTAGTGAAGCTGTATTTATCGGCAGGCATGATGACCAAGAGAAATCCAACTCTGATCTCTTAGTGAGGATCAGACAATGAGCTTTTTAACCCTGACTGCCAAGCAGCAAGCCATCATATCCAAGTTGGGCTTTGGATTGTGCGGTTAGGGCAATGAGTCCAGGCCTGCGAAACCAACACATCGCCATCAACTGGTTTGCTCCTTGCGCTGGCGGCTACCCGTGCCTTCCCCGTTCTGGTCATACTGCTTGTTACGCTCGTTCTTTTGTTCCGCTCAGTGCTGTGCTCGCTCGGCATTTGCCTTGCGATCTGCTGTTCGGGGGGGGGGGGCAGGCATGGGGGGAGACTTTAATTGATTTTCCCTCGTGCCTTGCAAGATGTCTTTGTCCCTTGAAGGTTCTAGCAGATGCCCTCATCTTGCAAAATGTAATTAGTTGCAGCCGGGTTTCGTACGTGGTGCGGGTTGCTGTGGGCATCTAGCGAAGACGAGTGTAGGTCATGTGGGTACAGACGGGCAGGCATGATGACCAAGAGAAATCCAATTCTGACTCCTGCGTGAGGATCAAATCAAGAGCTTTTTAACCCTGACTGCCAAGCAACGGCAAGCCAGCGTGTCCACGTTGAGCGTTTGATTTTGTCCGGTCAGGGCGATGTTGCATGGCGGCTTGATTATGTTTGACAAGGCAAGACAGGCTGAAGTGGCTCTTGGACTGAGTTAGATGGATGTACATGGGTGACTTCATGTGTTGTTTTCAGGCCATGTTCTGCGATCTGTCCAGGTTCGCGAGGGACTGAACGCTTGTGTAAGCGAGTCTGGCGCCTTCGCAAGTGCTTTGTGCGTGAAGATAATCATAAATCGCAGGGATCCCGAAGCCTTTTTGCTGAAGGCCACACACGCGTTTTGCGTTTCCCGGCATAGCAACGGATTCAAAAGACAATAGTACCATCGGCTGTGGGTCTGTCGGTTTTGCGGGTTGGGGGTATGGGTTTGTTCAGGGAAAGAGCGGCATTTGCATTGTTAGGCATGAAGTTGCGTTCCAACAATTCCACGCAAGTGCTTGGATGTTCAACCCACTTGGCAAGTAGGTTATAACCCTGGTTAAAACTGAGAAAACTGAGGCTAGTCCTTTTCAACTATAAGCGACTTATCCAACGTGGGTTGGACATCCAAGTGGTTGATGTCCCATCAACCTGGCAGGGGTTGCAGCTTGTGCAGGCTCCCCTCTTAAACGGACGCCTCCCTATTTCTCGATCATGGGCTTGTTAGTCCAGATTTCCATCCAAAAGCCCAGAAAGTCCTACATAGCCCAGATTTACGGTTTTGGGTTTGGTTCAAGGGGATTCGTCAATTATAGAATCCTCAAATCTGCAAATGTGAGGTGTGGGCTTGTCAGGTGTCTGGAGAGACCGATTTGAAGCTGTAGGTTAAACAGATAGCGAGTGGATTCGCAAAGAAGGGGCGGCTGTTGGGCACCCCACGTACTTTTGGTGCCAGACAACAATCGAAACGGCTTCCCAGGACCCCAACGCTGACAGCACTGTCATTGGTGTCATCCAGCCGTACCAGCGTACCAACACCAAGCGGGTGTCCCCCTAAACTGGTGAATCTTCTTTGTGGTTTCCCTTT